CTCTCTCTCTCTCTCTCTCTCTCTCTCTCTCTCTCTCTCTCTCTCTCCCTCTCTCTCTCTCCGAGGTGCTCCGAACAAACCATAACAAACGAACCCATCAGCTGGTAGGTCACTCAAGTCACGTGGTGCGTGGGAAATGTAGTTCTCTTCAACGTGCAAGAGCCCAACGCTCGACCGAGGAGGCGTTCCATCAAAACTACTCCGCCCACAATGCCTCGCTTCAATCGTAAACATAGACCTGTCAAACAACACACACGCCATCTTGACAGCACCCTCAAAATGGCAGGAAGATGCGAGCTACAAACCGAGTCCGAACTAAGAGTTCAGCTCTCTGCTTTTTAACACGACTGTGTCCATAAACGAGCGGTTATGGGGTTGGTGCCCAGCGCGGCAGCACAGAGCCTGTAAAATGGACATACCGACGGCGGTTTTCAACGCGGCCAGAGATGGTAAGCTGAAACTTCTCCAGAAGTTGCTGAGCAACAAAACTCCAGAGGAGCTGGAGGCTTTAGCCGAGGAGAAAACGCAGGGAGGCACCCCTCTGTTGATCGCCTCTCGATACGGACATCTAGAGGTTGTAGACTACCTCCTTGAACACTGTAAAGCAAATGTCGAACTCGGGGGGGCGGTTAACTTTGATGGCGAGACCATCGAGGGGGCTCCGCCGCTGTGGGCAGCCTCGGCAGCCGGTCACCTCCCGGTGGTTAAGACGCTGCTGAAACAGGGCGCCTCCGTGAACAACGCAACGCTAACTAACTCAACGCCGCTCCGAGCTGCCTGCTTTGACGGCCACCTGGAGATCGTCCGCTACCTGGTGGAGCACAGAGCCGACATGGAGGTAGCCAACCGCCACGGCCACACCTGCCTCATGATCTCCTGTTACAAGGGCCACAAGGAGATCGCCAAGTTCCTGCTGGACCGTGGTGCTGATGTCAACCGCAAGAGCGTGAAGGGAAACACCGCCCTGCACGACTGTGCGGAGTCGGGTAGTCTGGACATCATGAAGATGCTGCTGAAGTGCAACGCTCTCATGGAGAGGGACGGATACGGGATGACCCCACTCCTGGCAGCAAGTGTCACGGGCCACACCAACATCGTGGAGTATCTCGCCCACCAGCCTCGCACCTCCAGGGAGGAACATGTCAATGCACTTGAACTCCTCGGGGCCACTTTTGTGGACAAGAAGCGGGATCTCTTGGGGGCGATGAGGTACTGGAGAAGGGCGATGGTGCTGAGGCAACCAAGGGACACAGCCGGATCCCTGGCCAAGCCTCCGCCTGGTCCTCCGATCCCTGCCTATGGCTGTGCACAGGAGGTGAGCACTGCAGAGGAACTGGAAGCTCTGATCACAGACCCTGATGAAATGAGGATGCAGGCTTTGTTGGTTCGAGAGCGCATCCTGGGGCCGTCCCACCCAGACACCTCTTATTACATCCGTTACAGGGGAGCTGTGTACGCTGACTCGGGCAACTTCGAACGCTGCATCAGCCTTTGGAAATATGCTTTAGACATGCAGCAGAGCAACCTGGACCCCCTCAGTCCCATGACGGCCTCCAGTTTCCTGTCTTTTGCGGAGCTTTTCTCTTTTGTTCTTCAAGACCGGGCCAAAGGCACCCTGTCGACGCGCGTCACCTTTCATGATCTGATGACTGTGCTGGGGAAAAGTGTGAAGGAGGTAGAGAGAGCTGTGGCGCAGAGGGACAACCCTCCCGAGGCTCCTCAGTTCACCAAAGCTCTCTCCATCATCCTGCACCTGATCTTTCTCCTGGAGAAGCTGGACTGCAGCCCCGAGCAGGAGCACCAGAAGAAGCACACGGTGTACCGTCTGCTGAAGCTGAACCCTCGAGGTCGGGGCGGCTTCACTCCCCTCCACATGGCCGTGGACAAGGACACCACGTCAGTTGGCCGCTACCCTGTCGGCCGCTTCCCCTCCCAGGCGGTGGCGGCGCTTCTCCTGGAGTGTGGCGCCGACGTGGACTCGCGTGACAGTGAAAACAATACACCTCTGCACGTCGCCAGTAACAACGGTTGTCCAGAGATTATGGCTCTACTTATGAAGGCCGGGGCTCACTTCGACGCCACGAATGCACAGAGGAAGACGGCCTACGAGCTGCTGGACGAGCAGAGCAGCGGGCACCCGGCCCTCTGCCCACTGAACCATGTCACCCTTCAGTGCCTGGCGGCACGTGCAATTGAGAAGCACAGACTGCCCTACAGGGGACTGATCTCTGAGGAGATGGAGGCTTTCATTGAACTGCACTGACGTCCACCACTGTCCCCTGACGACCCCCCCCTGCACTACACTTCCTGTTGTCCCCCGTACCTTAGTGTGAGCTGTCACAAACCTCCATCTCCACACCATTCTCATCATCTTTGTCTCCTTTTTGGCCTTTGCTTTGCTGCCAACCTTGTGTCAGATGTCGCCATACAGCAATAAACATCCAGCTAAAATCTCTGGCTGAGATCTGGTCAGTTGTTGCCTCATTCTAGCATTCAGTCACATAGAAAGGGATAGTTGATTTCTACTGTTAACTTGATGTAGACTTTAATGCATTTTCCCTTTTTTCTTTTGTCCCTGTTTAAAGGAGACTTACAGTATGATGGTGCGTGCGCATGTTTTGGGGGCTGGGCTGTATGAAAGATGAGTTCTAGTATAACTGGAAGCATCTGAACCAACTAGCCAGATAACATGCATGCAAATGAAGGGTGAATGTGGTAGCTCACTTGTTTTGCAAATTCATTAAGAAAGGAAGTGAACAAAGTTTGAACAAACTCAACCACCCCAAACGTGCTGGCTGGTCATTTTTAGCCGACTACTTCACTGTAAACCATCTGTTGTGTTTCTTTGATACGGGAAGGTGTGTGAATTTACTGTGCCAAATGTCAGCCATGGAGCCATGTTCTGTTACAGACTACTGGTGGCAAAGGGAAAAGCAACTAATTCTCTTCCTAACTATAAGCAGACGTAAAGTGGAGATGCACATGAAGAAGATCAGGAACTTGAGTGGTATCCCTATGAGTAGAAAGACCTGGTACCGTTGTTTGGCCAACACTCTGCAGTCTCCACACACACATTACCTATATGCAGTTTGTGATGTTCCAATCAGATGCACTGTTTGTCAAGCAGAAATTCACTACATGAACAGATTTTACCCAGGATTATTCTTCAATTTGACACGCTTATCTTAACACGACAATGGCTCAAACCTGTGGGCTGCTTCGTTGACAATGAATTGGTTTCTCTTTATTACTATTTAATTTATGCACTACGAATGTTTTCTTAACATTTCTGCCTATATGTCCGAATGAACAATTTCAAACTAGAGCCTAAAGTGTGCCTATACATCCCTCTGTTCTGGGTGACGCCAACATCCTACAGAGATATCCACTTCACTCAGGCAAAGAAGCGGCATCAGAACTTGGACATATTGTGAAGAGAAGGACAGAGCTGAAGCCCCTGGTTTGTATCAATAGGGGAAACTGTCCGTAATCAAGCGTCAATTCTCTTTTTGTAGTGAATTTTCCCTTTAACCTCAGATGCAGTGCACAGAAATGGACAGGCCATTCCTGCATCTTAGTCTTACTATTAATAGTCTCTCTCTTTTGTTGATCTTGTGTTCTCATGAATGTTTTATTTGTCTGTGTGTGCTAAGCACCGCCAAGTTGAAAGCACACAGAGACTCTAAATCCTAAATGGACAACTTGCATTCAGGCTATGAACTGCCTCTGCCTTTCTCTTTCTCAACTGATTCGTTTAACCGATGATAACTCGAGAACAAAGTGAGTTGGAGATACTTGAATAAAATTCAGTATCGCAACATATTCTGTGTGTGTGTGTGTGTGATCTCAGGTTTTGCTGTGTCTCTTCTACATGTGGAACATTGTTTTTCGGGGCATCGTTTTGTGATTTAAAAACTCGGCACTATCTTAAAATTGAAAATGATTTATATTCCTCCGCTCTGGTTCGTCACTAGTTCTTTAGCTTGAGTGCTGTTGCTTATAATGGCAACATTTGCATAAAGAGCAGCATTACATATTTAGATGGATTGAAATGGTTGCGTAAAAGACATAAAAAAAACCCTACCAGCCAGCCAAGGACATCAAATTTGCTTATTTCGAAAGTGAAAAACGCACACAAAGTGTTACATCAGCAGAATATTTAAAAAGAATAATCAGTGCCCACTTGATTCAGCTATTTATACCAAATACGGCTTTCCACCGTATTTCGTATATATGGCTTTCCACTGCTCACATCAACTTGAGGGCACTGAAATAAAGCACAACAGAAACTTGATCTTTCTGAGTCCAGCACTCTTACGGTATAAATAGAGTGCAATTAACGTCACTGCTGCGGGGCAGCGTTGGAGACAGGGCACTTACCCTGCTAATTTTAGGGATCTTTTGCCCTAGCTTAAACTCTGGAAATGGGAATACTGTAACGCTATACAATCAGGCAGGTCACCGGGTGACTGGCAGAGACGGCGCACAGACAACAGAGACGGCATTATTCTGACAGGAAACAGAAGCAATATGAGCTCATTTCTTTTAAAGATGGGGTTTGGAAAGAATAGCTCCACCTAAATATTGATGATGTGCTACATGTGACAGGTGTCATGTTAGCAGAGCGAGTAAACAAACTGTTAAAGAGGGGTTGATGTCACTGGGACAACATGTGTCTACCCTGCTGAACAAGATCATACAACCAGGAGCACTGTATAGCTGACCTGACCTCTGACCTTTCTGCAGAGGGTGCCAGGGGATTGTGGTAATCATTTAGACATAGACCTATGATGTCAAGAGGTCAAAGTCAGCCACAATTGTTAATGTTGGAACATACAAAAATCGAATGTCAAGTGAATGCACCGTCACATAATTGTAACTTCCCACTAGATGTCACTAGCAACAAAGAAAGTCGATCAGCCTTTGTCCCTTCAAGACCGCACCATGGACTCAAAAACTGCAGCTTCCAAATACAAGCAGAAGTGATGACAGTCGTTTTTCTCTTTCGCACACTTTCGTGAGAGAATGAGTTGTTGGGAATGTTTTTTACCAAGCTATTAGGCGGGGCTGAGTATGCATTTGTAGTGTATGTGGAGGAACAGAAATCCAGGCAGATATGTACTCTTGAGTCTGTTTGCAGAGCGCTGCACGGGGATCAGGGAAGACGTGAGAACAAAGCCTCCTTCATGCCAACATCCAACACCTCAGATTTTGACCTCGAGGCAGTTGTTTCTGTCTTGTTGTGTGACCTAAATAAGAGCAAATCTTTAAAAAAAAAAAAAACAGCCTGTGTTCATGTAGCATCTTTTAAAAATGTAAAAGCTCAGGGCTTGGTTCACTGTGTTTCTTCAATTTCATTTATTGTTTTTAGAGATGTTTTCAAGCAAAATAGTCTGTTACAATAATTGTAGCAGAACAGGATCTTTCAGGGGCCTGCCGTTCATGGTGGGTTACATCAGGCAAACATGGCCCATGTCTGCAGTATTTAACATTTTCATATCATAAAGCAAAAGAAAACAGCATCAAATCTGTTTCTTTGTTACAGTTGTACAGGTCATCCTTCGTTGGAGGCTTTGCCTGCACCCGTTTCCATGCAATGCTTTTTTTTGCTCGCTGCCAAAAAGTTTTTGTTTATTGGGGAATTTGATTGATTGCAGGTATTTGGGGTGCATAGAGAAACAACTCTAAGCAGGCTATAACGCGGTGCAATTTAACAAAACTACCATGAAGTTGAATCAACACTTCCCCAAAACAGCTTCAACAAAAACTGAATATTATAACAATCATGAAAGTTTGGTTTATTGCAGGGCTGTTGTATTAGACTTCATTAGTTTTAGGTGAACCTAATACGCGTACTGAGCACAACAAATACCTGTAAGGTTATTAACTCCTAGCATCCGTCCTCAACAACAAATTATCTCATACAGTGTTCTTGTAGCTACCTCCCATGGTGTTATTAATAAATCCCCATAATGCCCCACAGTGATATTTTAAAGTGTCCAACTGTAATTTAGTGAGGGAGTTTTGCTCTGGAGGAGCTGATACTGGGCTCTGACTCTGACTTCCTGCCAGCAGCTATAATTAGATACTATATTATGGGAATCTAGGGGTTTCAAGGTGCTTATCTTCACTTTGGCCCCTGGGGAGCACAGTGGAAAAAATCTGCCACCAATACACAGGACCAACCTCAGCAGCCACTGCTTTTGCACCAGTCAGCGGTCCAGCCAGAGTTGGGGAGGGGGAGGAGAGGGGAGGGAAGGGAAGGAGGAGGGCATTAAGGAAGAAGGCAGGGAGTATCAATGACATCAACCAGCAGTATCTGAGGCCGCCCGACCGGCTATGCTCTCCCGACAAGAAGGGCTGAGGAGCAGCCCGTGACCCCGCTGCGTTCCCGAGAGGTCGGTCGACAGCCAGGACAGTGAAGGGAGACGCCGGCGATGCGTGTGCATGTATCAGCCCCCCACAAAGGCAGACCTTTCTCCGAGCGGAGCTCCACTGCCTCTGGATTACATTCATCCGTGCTGTTTCCGAGGAAGCTTCCAGCTGCAAATCCACCCACATGAATCCACCAGACAGTAGAGAAGACGGAGCACTACCTACCAAGGTAACCAGCATCCTTCCTCCTTCACACAGTTTAATGTTTGCCACCGTGCACCCCACCCACAAGGGTTGTTTTCAGCCTTTTTGAAAAGTAATACGCATGTATCCATGCCGGGGGGGAATTTCCCCGTTAGTCTACCTCAGGGGCTTCTTTGCGTTTTATTTATTTATTTATTTTGTTCGTCTTTCATCTCAGCATCACTTGAGACTTTGGGTGACAATCAGACCGAGGTGTTGTGCAGAGCAGGCTGGTTGGCGACAACGCTGTGAGTGCGCGTGCCCCCCCCTTCCTTATTGTCGGCTGGGCAGCATGAGGGACCGGGGCAGACTGGCAAAGCCTTTGTTCCTCATCCGCTCTCATTTAAAGTGCAATTTTCTGATGGCGCTTTAAAGCACTCTCCATATATAATGAGTCTGGGTGTAAAGTCCTATTTTTTTAACTCTCAAAAAAGAAAAAGAAAAAAACATGTAATAGCGTTGTAGAACGGAACCCTCGTGGAAAATAATAAACACAGCACCTGCATCCTATAGATTTGTCAAGGCTATTTAAAAGGAGGACGCTCTAAGTCCTGTTATCATCACCGTGGCATTACAAAGATGCCACAGCGAAGTAGAAATCCCATTATGATAATGTAACACTTAACACTTCTGAGGGGGCTATCACAGGCATATTAATAACCCGTATGGGCTATTATTCTAATATTAGAGAGATTTTTCTGGTATGGAAGGCACCAGGTGGCAAGGCAAATGGACTTATTTAACCAGACTCTAGACAATAGAGTGGCTGCTGCATCTGCTACTCCCAAGCGTTACTTAAAACAAGCCCATCTGCACAGATAGGTCTTTTGTAG